TATGTGATGGTGGGGTTTTTTAGGCAGAAATTCCAGCCAAAGCTGTAGTGATAAGTGTCTGACACAGTGCATCAATGATTTAGCACTCGATGCAGTTTACAAAATGTTACTATTACTAAAATACTATAGATCAGGAAATTTTATTTTTTGTCAGGAACAGTACAGTAACGGTTCTGCCACAAGGTTTTCGTTTTGGGGGGCATTTTTACACAAGACCAGGGAGGGGTGACCCAGGTATAATGGCCACTAACCAAGTTCAACATGCTTGTGTGCAGATAGCTGTTATGACTACAAAATGTATTCAGAGTTGTCACACAAACTCTAGATTTAGGTAAGACTCAGAAGCTAGCACTCCATGGCTTCAGTTTCAGAGAACGCTCTGGAAGTAACAGCAGCAGCAGAACCGAGTTATACTTTGCTTTTTGTCTTATAAAGCATTTGTCTGACTTTATTACTCCTTGTGGAGTGGTGAAGGAGCTGTAGCATAAAACTGAGGAGATGGAACTTATAAAGGGCAAATCTTTGGGCAAATGTACAAAATGTGCTACAAGAAAGTAATTTTACTGCAGAGTCATCAAGAGGGCATACAGTAGCAGTGGCTAGGTGACAAATTAAAAAAATGGCTTATTTAAATTTATGCTTAGGTATCTATCAGACTTCCAAAAGCCTTAGTCTGATACTTATAAAAGATTGCTGTAATGCCTGTCATGAAATGTAAAACACTACTAAAGTGGCCCTTTTCTCAAGTGGCCCTTCTACTAAGAAAATGTGGCTTCTTCATTTACTGATTTATTACCTTCATTCACCAGAGGTCTGACTGAAACCCACTGACTTCACAAGGATTGAAGGTCAGGTTTATTTAGTGAAGTACTAAGCATTTCGAGCTCCAAATGCAGACGCAGGGCACTTGCAAGCATTTAGTACCGTACAGGGTCACATTAGACGATGAACAAACTTTAATTAAATTTCACTTTTCAAACAATTAAACCATGAAAAGTTCTACTGCTTTTCCATTTTAAAATACACATACTGTGTCACCCTGTTCCAAGAAAGTAACACTGAAACTCACACAATTTAATCGTCTTTACAGCCATGACTTTGTTTCTGCCTTTTATCCTTGAGGGAAAAAAAAAAAAAAAAAAAAAAAAAAAAAAAAACACAAAAAAACAACCAAACAAAACACCAGAAAGAATCCACAGCCTTAGAAATGTATCTTCTCAATTTTCAGCAAATGCACAAGGACTAGGACTCATTGCTTGTTTATTAATACAAAGTAAGCAAAACTCTAAAACCAATTTATTTTAAGTTTGGCTAGACTGCATTAGCTATTTGAAATTGTAGACTCATGACTTTTAAATGCTATAAAATTAATCTAGAAGGAAACAAGAGTTTCTCATCAGTGATGAGCTGCTCAAAGAGCGCAGACTTGTACCCAAGAGGAGCAGCCACAGGCTGACTCGCGGGCCCGGCAGTTGAGCGCGTACCAAACCAGTTTTGTCCTGTGACGGTGCCCACGACATTCTGCCGTGATCCAGGGCCATGCCCGTGTGCATCTAACGCTGCAGTTCCTGGCTGTTGCTGATAAGGACTAAAGGAGGAAGATTCAGAGCAATCACAAAGCTTTGCAAAGCAGCGGATGCTGTGATCATTTCCAAACACAAGGTAGGAGGGTGGTGGAGTCCCGTCTGTCTAGTTTAAGTGCCTGTCCTGTGTCGTGCCTCACCATGCAAATGCGCCTGACCTGCAGCAAGAAGGAAGAGGGTTCCAAGTTGTCCAATATGTAAATTTCTTCTACAATCACTAAAAAGGTGTGTAATTTCTGAAGGTAATGGGAAATTAATTCCATCTGATTTAGGCATGTTCATTTTCTAAGGATCTAACCCTTTTCTGAGATGGTGATTGTATTCAGCTTGGAAAAAAGCACTCAATTTGTTTTCTCCAATGCTCTCATTATGAAATGGGGTTATGGTTTCCCTTCGCCTGGTCCCTGTCCAGTCCTAGAGAAGTCTGGCAGAGCTGTCTACAGCCCACTGGGAATAGCAGCCATGGAGATTACTCTCATGACCTCATGGTGAAGAACTTCTAAAACTGTGAGATGCAAACTCAGTCTTCTCAGTAATATTTAGCTTCTGTCACCCTCGCTACATGTATAGAGGCATAAACCCTTGTTGGTTTTGCCAGTTCTTAATACCTGTATTTACCCAGCATGCTGGTGCTTAAAGATGCAAGCGTAGAAAGTATAATTTAACTGTGAAATTATTTCAAATGTTTTGTCTGATTTTGTATTTTGCAGTTTTGTCTGAGCAATTCAGCCGTTGAAGAAGACCTTTATTAGCGATATGTCTTGTTTCTTGATCCTATGAATAAAGATACCAGAATGTTTCTCTGAGAAACTTAGAAGCATGTTTAAAAAACATGCACTTTAATAACATTCCATATCAGGAGTTAAATAAAATATGCTGTTTGAATTAAAGCTGAATTGTAGAGTGTGAAAAAATGTGACATCTGCCAGACGTTGCAGAATTTGGCATAAAAGAGAAAAGCTGTTAATCACTTCAGGTGAAAGTATTCGCAAAGCAGAAACCAGTAGATCAGATAAAATTTGTTTCTGTCCTAAAGTACAGAATTCTCCACAACTGTGGGAATAAGAAGTGCCAGCCACTCATTTAACACATGAACACCTTAAAAAGTGTAGTAATTATCAGAGAGGGAGGAGGACAAATACTGCATATTCCAATGCTAATGAGTTCTTTTTATGGCCGAATCACTAGGCATTCAGGAGGTTTTTCCTATGAAAATTGAAATGTAAATTTTAATTTTGGATGTGTATTAGCTATTTGCATAGGCAAGACTGTCAGTAGAAACTTGCATGATTTCGTGTTCTAGTTTAAAACATTTAAAAATGGAAATAGTATAAATGTATCATAAATGAATGGGAAAATAAACCCCAACTAATTATATCATGATGCATATGTAACAAGAATTTCTTATTGTTACTATTATTTTTTACCACCATAATGCTCTCCTTCCCCTTACTTAAGCTGTTCTTCCCTACTGTATTCAGGAAAATTAAAAGTTTTGACGTACTTGGAAACCAAAGGGTCATTCGTAATATTCATTAAGCAGTAAGTAATCAAAAAAGCTTATTAACTCTTATCAACATTAAGCTTAAAAAAGTAATTACTTTTAGTTGTGGAAAATCCTGCCATTTTGCACCTGCAATTGAGTGCAAGCAGTCCAACAGAGTACCTAAGTTATGTTTTGTACATTCATATTGTCATATAATCTCAGCCTGCAAAAGCAAAAAAAACAAACAAACAAACAAAAAAAGCCAACGAAAATACAACCCCAGAAATTTGCGTTTTGAAAACTGCTTCCTTTGCCAAATGAACAAAAATTGCAAACAGACATTCACACTTTTTTTTTTTGCGCTTCCTGGAACAGCACATTCAGTTTGCTCACAAGGCTGCTGAACAGTTTCATAACATGCAAGAGATAATTTGGTCATCTCTACAGAAACAAATACAAGTTGTCTGATTAGGTAATCAAGTCTCAAAGCAAATGAGATCAACCAAAGATATCACAGATCTGCCAAAATCCCAGCAATTAAAATGCTGTTGAGACTGGAGAATATTTTGGACATACCTGCCACCTGGTGTCTGGAAAACAACCTCATATCTGAAAACAACCTGAAATTCTCTTAAAGCTGTATTCCCATTAAGAAGCAAACAAGCACTGATGTATTTAATATGGATTAAACGTAGATGGAGCAAAAATGTCTTTAGGTTGGTATTATTACCAGCATCTCTCTAGAAAGAAAAGGAACAGGGTGACTTAAATGTTCCTTCCAGTCCCATCCCTACTAACCACAAGAACTCTCAAGTACATCTCTGAATTAAGTGTATTTACACATCTCCTGTGAGATGATAATGACACTGATGCAAAATCTCCCAGGCACAGCCTTAAACAACTTCAGACTAATTGTAAACTGCAGTGTGCCAAACCCAAAGGCAAAGGAAAGCAGTTAAATGAGATGGACCTAGGTAAAAAAAGGATTTAGTGATAAATAATACTTGGTAGTAAATGAGTAAGCAGTCAGTGTCTGAAATTACTGTGGTGACTACTAATGTGTCTTAGCTAAAATACTTAAAACCCCCAAGTCTTTATAGTGGAAGCAGCAATGACAGTAACTACCAGTTTTGCACGTTTGATGCCTGAAGTAAACATTCCTCGTTGGTAAAAGTGATAACAGTAAGAATATAAACTGAGATAAGCAACGTTTTATCTTTACCTACCAAAGGGTTACTTCAGGCGGAGCCTAAAGCTTCAGTGTAGGCAGTTGGACAAATTACCGTGCAATTCAGCGATACCAAACTGTACCTATAGCACAGTAAGGGGGTTTCCCCTCCCCCCGCTTCTTTGCAAAGCAAATTTCAATACATCTGTGTTTCACAATTACCACCCGGGATAAAACCACTGTCTAAAGTCAGTCTCAGCAATATAAATTGCTGGTGTTTAAGCTAGCACCCCCGGCAAGCACAAACTGTAACTATTTGTCTGGAATCACATCTTTGTAGAGCTGATAATGGACAGACCTGCAGAAACCACTGTAACTAGACTTAAGCAAGTGGTGTGCCATTGTATTTCAACCCCTGCTTTAAAGCAGGGTATGTTATTTACAATTTTTCTTGAATCTTGTAAGTGGACAGAGACAAAAGATACTAAAATAAAAACCCACATACTTTATTTTTAGCTTTAAAGATGCATCTCTAAATATAATCAGTAGAAAAAACAAGTTAAAAAAGTAAACACCAAGCATTTTGTAAAATCACATTGAACTAATACAAGACTTAATACAAGGTTTTCATATACCACTCAAATGCAGTTTAAAAAAAAAAAAAGTAGTCTGGTTTCCAAGATGCCTTCTACTTGAAATCACTTGTTAAGTACCCACAGATTTTAACTATAAAACAAGGATACATCCTTTCTTTTTTCTTCTATTTACAAAGCTATTTGCCACATACTTCACTCATTTGCAAGTGAAATCAACGTAGTCTCAGTTACAGAATTGAAGAGAACATGTACAGTTCCATGACTGAAGTCCTTTTTTCATTATAGGCTCTTTAGCAAGTCAACACTCATCACATATCTTTAGACTGATCATCTTCCTCAAGTTTTCTGATTTCATTCTTTAAACAGTTGATGGTTTCACGACTTGCTTTCAGTCTTTCTTTAAGCTCAGCAATTTCAAAACTAGTTTTCTTTTTGGCAGCTTCCAGCTTTTCCCTGGTTTTCACTTCAAGATCTGCAACTGTGGTGTTGATAAGAGAAAAAAAAGAAATATTTAAGTACCATGAAAAGTCGAAATTATTTTTTTTAATTGCAACATTAATTTGGATGGTGTGTGTTCTGAAAAAAAATGTATTACTGTTAGTCTTAAAGATTCAACAATTGTAGTCAAAATGGTATGCAAATAAAAATCTAGAATATTAAAAAAAAAAAAAAGCAGCTTGTTTCACAGCCTCATTCAACCCAATCATTTTGCAGAGTTTTTGAAAGATTAAGTGGGAAAAAAACCCCTGACCTGGCGACCACAAATAAATGGGAGATTACAGAGAATTACAAATAATGTATTTGTGATGCCCAGTGACAGCATGTCAGGCCACGGGCAGCAGCTGAAAAGCAGGAGGCTCCCTCTGAACACCAGGAAACACTTTCCCACTGTGAGGGTGAGGGAGCACTGGCACAGGTTCCCGCAGCAGCCGTGGGGGCTCCAACCCCGGCGACGGGCAGAGGGCACCTGGGCAGCGCCCCGGGCAGCTGGCTCTAGGGCGGGAGGGGCAGGCGACCTGACCTCCAGAGATGCCTCCGCACCTCAACCGTCCTGGGGTCCCTTTTCCACGTACTATAACCACTTCCTACTCTCCATCCCACCGGAGTTTTAATTCTATGTATCTAGAAGATTTAGTAGTGCTACCTCTGCTTTTACAAATACCTGACATTAGGACATCTCAATCTGGTTTACTGAGATAATTTTTTTTTTTTTTAATTTGTTCGTACAGATGTTTTTGGACTAAGCTGGTAAGCCAACAAATCCATGGAGGCTATGGATATCTCTTCATATCCCATATGCTACATAATCATGGGCACTGACAAAAAAATCTTAGTTTTTATCTGCTTCAGCAGCACATTCTAAGGAAATATACAAAAAAATCCACTAAAAGTTTCTATCTGCTCTCAGGAGAAACATTCAAAAATTTTAAGTGGGAAAAGTTTAAATTGGGACAAGACTTTTTTATGACTTGAATTATTAAACATTTTCTATACATAAACCATAACAACATGCACTGTAACAAAAATCCACCTCAAGACTGGCTGAGGTAGAAAAACCAAGTAGCTCACACGTCCACACACCCTAAGAGACATAAGGCAAATTGGAACCCTAACTCTGCAGAGTTTCAAACTCATAACCACCCTTAGCTCCAGTAATTCACTGACTAAAAATACCTGAGCTTTGTTGTCAGGGGAACACACAGATTAGCCAAAGGCCAGGTGAGCCAGAATACAATGACATTAGAGTTTGTAACTAACAAGGTAGGATTTGGGCTCAGTAAATATCACATTTGCTTTCTGAGGGTAGAAGAGATGAAATCCAGAAGATCAGAACAGAAATTATCACTAAATGCATTATATTTTACGAATCAGTGTATTTTAATTTAATTTCTTTAATTCCCTTAATATTCTGGTTTATATTTGAATACAGATTAGATAAAATGGATGCAAAGAACTTTAAGCTCTACTGAAGGAGTACGTTATGAAACGACCTACAGTTAAAGAGTTAGAAGGGAAAAAGACCTGAAGAGCTTTCAGACGCTACTCTTTATCCCCAAAGGGTTGCTGCTTTGACTTAAACTGTTCCGGATTTCGGTGCTTAAAGCATGATCTTTGCTTGCAGTTAACATTCCCATGAGCTGAACAGAACTGTACCGTGAATACAGTGGCCTTAGTTCTGTTTTAACTCATCTTAAAGATGTTAAACTAAGCGCAGATCATGCCATAACTCTTCATATTGTGTAATTCATAATTCCTCTTTTTTTTTTTTCAGCAGACATACAGATCAGAACATCTTAAAAGTCTTCAAGTAAATATTAGTAACTTTGCAAAAGTTGAAGGTAACTTACTGCAAAAATACAACTTTTCAGCAACATCCAAATCCACTGTACTGTCACAGCCCAGAAAAATCACTAAAAGCAAACCCAACTACTGTTAATTTCTAAAATTAAAATATTTTAATTTTCAACTTACACTCTGTTTCATGCTTATAAGCACCTAGTGTTAGCTGACGAGATGTTGTTAACAGCTGCTGCATCATTGCAGTAGGATCTTGAAATATCTAATGAAGAAGAAAAATACAGGGTATCACTGATACTCTTCAAAATAAAGTGAAGATTACATTAAAAATTCTCATACCATTTCATCATAGAATTCAGAAACTACAGTTTTCTTTCCCAGGATGGCATTGGTATCAGACTGAAAAAGCTTCAGCAAGTGATACAAGGTTACCTATACAAAGACAGAATTTTATTAGCTTCACAATTGTAGAAAAATACAAATCCTCTTCCAGGTATCAACACGCAGTATTTGTTCTTACCAAACAATTGTATAGGATTTAAAAATCTTTTAGGAATGGAAACATCAACGTCATATAACTTCAACAGAATAACTTAAATTTAATACTCAGTGTTCAACACACCAGAGGCTTCTTGATACCTGAAAAATGTCTGGACAAGTGGTTTAGTATTGGTGTATACACTAAGACCACCTTCTCGTAAACATTTCCAAATAGACGATTTAGTTCAACTTTCCCAACTAATCTGTCAGAAAGTGCTTTCTGTGACCTTATCATCCCTTCTTGTGAAAGAAAAACCACCCGGGAGGAAGCTGTGAATAGCTTTTCACTGAAATTTCTCTCTGCAGAGCTACTCTTCCATTACTATACTGCAAATGGCAGGAGCTGGAGAGGCACTGGAGCCCCCTGTCCAGCCCTGAGGAAGGGCTGACCGCTCAGACCACGACCCGGGAAGAGGACACACAGCCCACAGTTCTTCCCTTCCACGAAGGGGCCCGTGAATGGCCGTGGAAGAGGGTGATACCTTTCTCCGGCTGGTACTTCCTGGAAAGGAAGAACATGACAGGCACCGAAACAGCCTTCCAAGAACAGCTGCAAAGAAAAAAACACCCAACCAACTTTAAAACAGCTTGGTCAAGCTGCGAATGGAGTTAACACGACAAGTCAGGATGCTACTGAGCACAAGAGCGCAGGAAGCCCTTTCTAGTCTGGTGTCAATTTTCACATATTCAAGAAAAACATTAAATTCAGTCTTCCCCTCATTTGGCAGAAAAAGGCTAAAGCAAGAGGATCGCTGTAGTTCGTGTGGCAGAAGGAACTCAGTCCTTCCAGAAATAAACACCCCCTTCCCCTAAAATATCCTAATCAAGTTTCCTACCTAAACTTGGATAAAACTGCAAGGTATGTCTAAAACACAGGATGGGAAGAAAGAAACTCATTCCAATGCTTTATTCAACTAAAGTAGTGTCTGAACCTGGTTTTCTTAGGAGAGACTAATGCTAGCAGAGTATCTTTGCTGCTTTTTAACTGATTATGAACAAATCTGATAGACAAAAAGCAAAAACCAACCAACCAACCAAAAATATTAAATTCAAATATCCTAGAACTAGGAAACTACATACAGGAGAAATCCTCAGTATGTGCTCAACCCCGTAAGGTGCAACATGCAGTCACATATTAGTTAATGTCACAGAAGCCAAGTGCAGGAAAAGCAGTCACGAATGCCAACAGTAAAGCACAGAAAAAGGAAAACATGGCCAAGCATTAAAAACATTTCCTACAAGAACAGGCTTTATTACTTCTATGGCTGATAGGACTTATTTTGATCAGCAATATCCCACACTGCAGCTTTTAGGCCACCATAATTAATTATGTGTTGTTAAAAGTTCAATGTACTTACAGGTCTTTCATTTGGATCAATGAAAAATATCTTGATGATTATTTCAAATTCACCCCAGCCTGTTTCAGTGATTTCATATGGTGGTTTGGTAACAACTGCAGTAGGAAACAAAGAGGTGTTAATACGCGTGATATAACCTCAGTGGAACTAACAAAAATCCCAGTTCTAGGAACAAATCCCCAGATGCAAAACCCACCTCTTAAAGGATTACCATAGCTTTCATGCAACTTGAATTGAATTTTTTTCACATACGCAGACATATCCTAAAACAGAAACATTATTTCCGATTATTTATACAGCACACCAAACTACTGCTTATTCATCCACTCTGCTTGTCTATCATTTCTTCTGACACAAACACAGTATTTCTACTGACTTTAAGCACAGTAGGAAAGCAAGATGGTAAATCCAAGAATTAGTACTGGCATGCAAGTCTGTCAGTATTTTGTTCCCATGAACACGCTCCAGTTTTCACCTGGCCTGGAAAGGTCCCTCTAAAAAGGTAAGAGGAAAAGAGTCTTCCCTCTTTTTCCTTTTTGGAACCCTCCCCCAGGCTATGCATTTTCTCCTCTTACAACTTCTCCTCAAATCCTGGCTTTTTAAAACCCTAACTCATCAGCACAGCGTGCTGCACAGCGCCCAGCAGCCGGGGCAAGGTGCCGCGCTCTCCCGCTCTCCCCCACAGCCCTGCAGTCCCAGGCACGACATCCTCACCCTAAAAGCTGATTTGTGCCCCACGTTCAATAAGCCCATCTTAACATGCTCAGGAAAGATACTGTATTTATTCTGGCCTGGGTGCTCGGTGGACTTCTCCACAAATCAAGCACCCCAACAGCAGGTTTTGGTGCTTCTTTTATACACGAAAATCAGAGACTACTACTTTTCCAAACATGCCAACTAGATACTGATTGGTTAGTGATTAATGTTCAGTTATAATACTGCTTACACAATACTTCTGCTACTACGCATGCTCCAGGGAAGGGTCTTGACCTGGGCAGGGGTCTTTTTGACCTGTGGGTGTGGTTTTTGGCATTACAATGAAGGTAGTTCACTTCAGGACACTTTAAAAGTTAAGTTTGGTTGCTAAATTAGTTAATTGAATAGTCACTTTGCCAGGTTGTCAAATAACTCATACTTAACACAGTCAGTCCCAGATATTCTTATGATCTATGATGGTCTATCTATTTTCCAGCCTTATGGCTGATTAAGGTCATCTCGATCAGTATTCAAAGTTCAATTCAAACAAACTTCAGAGCCTCGCAACTGTCCCCATACGCACGGTAACTATAGCTACCGGCACAGTTATTAACCATGGCTACCAGCAAGTGCGAAGTATGCTACATCAACACAATAGGTTAAGCCTCTCCACGACCCACGGTGAGGCCGGCGACGGTTTAACACCTTACCTCGTTTCTGTAAGGCTTGACATAGACCGTCCACTGGTGAGTGTGACCATCTTCTTCCCTTTTCTTCCCAAAATACCGTGCGACGTTTCCATACACGATCGGCTTCACAATGGTAACTCCCTTAAAAAGAAAACCCAAAACAAACAAAACAAAACAAAACAAACAAAAAAAAATACACAAAAAACAAAAACCAAAACAAAACAGGAAGAAAAGCAAAGATGACGCGTTTTGAAAGGCGTTTTCCCCGTGTCCGTCGGCAGCCCGCGGAGCGCCTCTCGCCCCCTCCCGCCGCCGGGGCCGCACCTTCACCCTGCCCCCCGAGTCAGGCCCGAACTCAGCCATTCTCTTGAACATATTGCCCCGGCCGGAGGGGCGCCGCCCGCAGCCGCGCCGCCCGCGCTCAGCTCCCGCGCCGCGCGCGCCCGCCCGCCCGCCCGCCAGGCCCGGCCCGGCCCCGCCGCCGCCCGCAGCCTGCCTTTCCCCCTCCCACCACTTCCGGCGGTGAGGTGGCGTCATGGCGGCGGGGCGGAGTGACGCCACACCCCCCCCCCCCCCCCCCCTTCCTCCCCCTCTTTCCTCCTTTCTCCCTTGCCCGCCGGGTGTGAGGCGCTCCTCGTGGCGTAGGCAAAATGGCGGCGGCTCGCGCCGCCTGAGGCGCCTGTGGTGCTGCTGCTCTCCCACGCTGGGAGGGAAAAAGCCCACATAGGACACAAAGAAGGAAAGTGGCAAGCATGCTAAAAGGTGTGCAGCCGCTCTGAAATTCAAAGTATCCAATCTGTGGGCTGACTGCTCCAGAAATCTTTGTACATCTCTGGAATATATAGGCTATCACCTTCTTTGGTAAGACATCATCTGTCTTCTAGACAAGATCCAAAAGCCAGAGATGCGTGGCAATTTCTGCGCTTCTGATTTCTGAGGAAAAGCAAAGGCCTTTCCTCCGGCAACTTTCAGTTACAAGAATGAGCAGAGTAAGTCCAGTGAAGCAACTCTACATATGATGCAAAACAAATGGCTGCAAGAGGATGCCATATTTCCTGCATTTACCTTCACGAGATAAGCTTGAAATATAGAATGAGGCTACTGGGGTGACAACAAACTAGTTTCTGCCACCATTTTATGGTTAATCTGTAACCAAGCTCCTTTGCTCATGGCTTAAGAAGTGTGTTTTCAGTTGGTCTTCTTGGTAGATAACTATTCAGTTGTGCTGTAGTGCAGCAAAAGGTGTATCACCCTTCTGGCTAACAAGTTATATTTCTGGTACAAAGTTGTCCACAAGTAACACCCATAATGAAAAATATATAAAAAGACATGGGAGGGAAAGATTGCGGTTATTTCCATTTTGTTTGCTCTGTGAACTTGGTGGTTCTTTGGGTGAGCAAGGTATTAAAAATTAACTGACACCATTTCACTCTGTTTAGGTGTGAGCAGCTTGTGTTGGCAGTTCTTGTCTTTGTCAAAACAAGTTGTCTTAGCAGGACCTGTTATTTACATTGTTTTCCTGCGTAGCTGAATATAACAGAATATATGTTTGAAATGTTTTCTTGTTCTTGTACGAAGGCAGACAGCTTCCCATGATACTCTGAACGGCAACAGAGGACAGAAGACTCTTAAAACCACGTTAATTACCAGAAGTGACAGGCCTGAAGAGCATCCATCTGAAGTTACTTTCCATTATTGATTCACTTTGGGGCAAGGAGTGTGCCTGGCTGTTGGGCTGAATGAAGTCAGAGGTCCATGTTGGCATGGTTTTGTGCCGGTATCTCTGAATAAGGCCACCAGCTCTCTCTGGACTGCAGGTGACTGGGGAGTGATGCCCATGTGGCTCCTAAGCAGCGTCACACATGGGAGGGTTGTGCTAACCCAAGGGTAATGAATTCCTCAGTTTCAGGAGGAGATGAGGCTGAGGGGGTTGCTGATTTACGGGGTTGCTGATTTACAGGGTTGCTCTGTGCCCTAGTTGCACCCTCCAGTCAGCCCAGCTCTGTCAGTTCCTGTGATGGATGGGAGAACCTGGGGGGCTCCTCCTGGGAGCTGTGGCCAGACCCTGCCTGCAAACCACTCTCCAGAGCCCCCATCCCACGGCCACCCAGAGCATGTGCTGGGGCTCCTGGCAGACAAGAAGACAGTGACAAGAAGACGGTAAATGCCATGCCTAACCCACTCCCGGGAAGCAAAAATTCCCTACCCCATTCCTTGTGCAAAATAGATCTCACATGGACAGTGCTGCTCAGCTCAGAAGTATTATAGCTCTTAAAGCAAGTTGACAAGACCGGCATGTAGACCAGTCTTTTTCAAGTGGTCAGCCTCTAACTGTCTTCAAAGAAAAATTAGATTTCCTGAGGTTAGTGTAACTTCTAATTAATGAAGAGCTTCTATGGAAACCTTTTTACTCTGGAAACATTGAGATGGACAAAAGGGAAGGACGCAGTTCCTGTTCTAAAGAAACCTTTTCCTCCCACATGTACATGACTGCTCTGCAGATCTCCCTTTGGAAAGGGGGAAGGGTGGGCTTGAATGTTCTTCTGCTTTGTATTTTGTTCTGCTTTGTTTTTTAAAGATAGAGGCGTGACCAACCTGTGCTAATCTATTTGCAGCTGGAATATGAGAGGGCAGCCCATCACAGCACCACCTGTAGAAACAGCTCACCTGAGCAGGGGATATTGCACGTGTGCTTGGCACTTGGGGTCCTGCCACCGTTGCACCACCAGCAGCTGCTGTTCTGTAAGATCTGCGATTCTGATACAGAAAATCAAAAAGATGATTGTATAGGGAATGAACATGATGGGGGGGGGGGTTGGTCCTTTTGTTCTTTAATCCAACCAAATATGAAAAGCACATGCAGTATGTCTTAACTTCAACATGTCCTTGGAAAACCCGACACAGGATTTCTACTCTTGAAAATAAATTCCAGCATGCTTCTCTACATTACTCGCTCTATATAGAAGCACAAATCAAACTCAACATATATTTCCACAAAAACAACTGAGGAAAATACTACCATGTCCAATTTATGCAGTGGTTCTGACTGTATTTAATCAATGCTGGTCTTCTGGACAGAAATTAAGTGTAAGTAAGACTTCACAAAGGAAACTTCGGAAACCAGCTCAGTGTTGAGGCCCTCTCGTCATTGTTACTGCCCTAAGGGTAAAAATGCAGACACTGGGAACGGCCAAAAAAAATACTCTGCTGAAGATAACCTTGTCTCCTTGCCGGCTCCTGCCTCCATGGGTGTGGGTGGCCCAGCTGCACACGCATCTCAGGGGATGTGGACTGGTGGGTGGGCTGTGGCAGGCAGGGTGTGCTCTGCAGTGGCAGCTCCTGGCACGCTTTGAAGCTGTCAGTAGTCATAGCAGGCAGAGCTGCTCTCACGGCTGACCCCGGGGAGGGGTGCTTTTGGCCACTGCAGACGTGTCCAAACAGACCTGCTCACCTTGCTCCCGCTGCCACGCATGCTTCTGCGGAGCTTCTTGCTCACAGAGGCAAGAGCAGAGGTTTTGATGAGAGGCTGTGTTCAGGGCTTTGCCTTTCCTGTCTGGACTTACCTGCCCTATTTTGTCCTGTTGACACGTCACTGCGTCTGTGTCAGGGCAGTAGGAAGGAAGAGGGATGGGGACAGTGATTCTTGTTGAAAATGTGGATGTCCCATCACCAACACACAGATTGCTCCCCAGACCCAGGATCAGAGGCCGTGAGCCTCCCCTAGGGCCAAAGGAGATGGGTTTAACAACTGCCACTGCCCACTACTCCTTGTTGCTAGGTCCCACAGCAGTGCCTCTGCCCTCCCCTCCCACTCCTGCCCCACTCCAGCAGCGCAGCCACCACTGGCAGATGGCAAGCAGAGGAAGGAACTGCAGCAAGTAGAAGCAGAGCAATTAGGAACTGGGGAGGTATGATGAGATGGGCTGCCTCTAGGAAAGGCTTCCTGATGACTGTAGCTCAGTTAGACTGTGGAAACATGGCAGGGAAAGAGATGGTGAAGAGAAAAGCTGTAGAAAATAGCTTCAGACTGTGCCTGCAGAGATGGACTAACCCAGTGGAATCCTAACCTCTAAACTCCGGCATTCACATCAACCTGCTCACTTTAACAAAGCTTGCTAAATGGAAATTCCCACCCCAAGTGCCTCCTGGACTTACAGACTTTCAGGCTGTGTCCCCGAAAATTATTCAGTTCAAGACACTTCATAGCTGCTGCCAGATCACACCTCTCACAGACCTTCCCCAGGGCAGCCAATGGTAGGAGGCAAAATGCAAGGATTAGCAGAGACTTGATGTTGCCAGGGTGATGCACACAGCCTTTAACAGCGGGACCACAGGCTCTCCTGTGCTTGTCTCATCTCAACCTTCTCCCACCTCCCTTTGGTTCCTCTGCTCTGCAGTAACCAGGAACGCAGCCTCTTCAGTACACGAGCATTTCTTGGTACTTAAAGCATCACTCCACAGCTGACAAATTTCTTATAGAATGTGTTAGGCAACAGGAGAACAGAGTAACGTTATCTCAGAATAATTTTGTTTAAACTCTGGCAATGCCTACCAAAGAGAGAGTTGGCTATCTAAACCCTGCTACTCAGATTTGTTAGGAAATTATTATGAGAGTCCTGGTCTTACTGAACAGTTACTGCTCACCACAAATCTATCGCCATTAGCAACCTAACAAAAATAGCCCTAGGAAATAAAGAAATTTTAATTGGCATAATTACTACGTTACCCTGTGCTTCTGCAAAGGTGGTTCTTCTAGTCGAGTGCTCAAGTATGGCAATACATCATTTGCGTATCAATATGAGCAGCCTCATCATGCTGCTTGCTGTGCGTTCTTACACAGCACTGGGAGCAGTGCTGGGCTTATCAGGGCTCAGGGTGCAAGGAGGCCGTGGAGCCAGTCGCTAGCAAGTCGCATCACACACGAGCAACGGGGGAAGAAGCAGCACATGCAGCCTCCTGAACAGCCATGATCAATCAACCCTCATCTAAGATCTCCCCAAATGGTGAAGCATGAAAACCTCTCTGCACTAGCCACCAGCACCTATGTATTATTCATGTTTTGATAGTGGAATTAATATGGAGAAATGGGTTTTACAGCTAATCTGGAGCCCCGAGGTTCAGCTTGTACAGGCTTTTTGTTTCAGTGGGCATAAGGAAGCTGAACTACCACAAACAGATCTGCTTTCTAATGACATTCAAATCTGGTTACTTTTGACTAAGACTTTGAAATTCGGATCTGCTAAATTCATTTCAGAAGGTGAGTCCTGGCAAGAAACAATATGCCGGCATACAGTCTTATTTGATTTGCTTTGTTAGGACACCTTTGCACAGGGAATTGCAGAAGCTTTGATGGGTGGGCTGGAAAATAGTCTCTGTCATGTTCAGCAACCTCTAAGAGTTCAGACTTCCAATGTGTCCCACTTCAAACTGCAAATCTGCTAGAGAACAGCAGCTTCTACTACTGCCCCT